TATATATATATATGTAGCGCCGAATGTGTGTGTGTGTGTGTATATATATATATATATTATTTTATTTTTCATCATTTTAATTATATGATAATTATTGATGCAAAAATAAAATGTAATGTATTTTAATATGCTATGGCCGAAAATATTAAAGGGAAAAATACAAGACATAAATTGATTTTCTACCTAATGATATATTTGATTGATATAATCAAATATTTGATTAACAAAAGGATATTTGTCTTGTTGTGTTGGTTGGGGACATTACATTAATCCTAATTTGTTTTGTCCCTAAGCTATTTCCTAGAAATTCATTTAAGTTGTTTATTATAAAATGAAAAAAACAATCCCTCCCCTTTTACACTTAATAGTTTCGGCCATCCCAATTTTAGAGAGAAGAAAATATTATTTTGTGTTCAAAGTTATTTTTCTAAAGTGTTAGAAATATACACAAAATATTATAAACAAATATTTATAAGAAATATTTTACTATATATTTATTACTCCCAAAGTAGTATTATTATAGTTTTTACTATCCTATATTAAACTTGCTAGCACAAGTTTAATCTTGGACTCCGGAGCAAGTTCGTGTGGATACGTTGGAGGCTTCATACGTTTGGCGCTACGTTCATCTCCTCAAAACCATCCCCGACCGTTCCTCTGTTCTCCGTTCTCACCGTTAAGGTAAATTCCTTACTATAGCTAGTAATTTACGTAAGTTGTTCTTGGGTGGAATCGAGTTTTGGACTATAAATTTTTGTTTTCCGCTGCGTTATCCAAGCCTCGTTTCCCAACAGGAAACGTTTCGTAGCGGAAGTTATTGTGAACAGTAAACGTTAAATCTTAAATAAGAAATACGACAAAGGTGGGTTCAAGCCCAAAACCATTTTCATAACTAAATAAATGATTAATTCGTCCCGTACTGTCGCTCATCCGCCGCCCCGATCACCCAATCATCCGGGTCAGGCTCCATGATCCTCTGGCCTACCTGCGTATAGTAAAGAGAAACAACGCTATACGCTCAGCAAAAGCTGAGTGGTAATCTAACAGTAGAACACTTAGTATATCTACATTAATATAGACATATTCACACCTGTACTAAAGTACGAGATACCACATACAAGTTTGAAGGGTATTAGGTTACAAATAAATAGTGATGTGATGCCAAAAAAAGAAATCATGATGCATGAGTTAGACTGCGCAGGGACCCCCTGCCCTTCGATGATCATCCCCACGCGGTAGATGAGCCGAGGAACGCCTTAGTCATCCCGATGGAGACTAGAAATGTGGGTGATAGCTAAGCCTAGCTACCATGTACGTACACAAGCCCTAGTGATGGAAACCCGTTGGATCCCGCAGGTTCCTGTACGGGCCCACGGAAGAGGCGCACTAGGCCTGACCCCTTGCTGTGGTATGCAACGTATGCCATGATCCTAAACATGCATCAAGGATATACATGATGGTATGAATGCATTGATTGGAGAATGAAGTTATATTCAACACATACAAATATGTTTGAGTCCATATGAAAACAACTTGTTCAACATGGCGGACCCGGGTTCAGAACTGGCTGATAATCGATTAACCATTGTTGACAATCGATTATCATGCTGTGCAGTTTCTGTTCCCAAGTTCCGCAGGCCATGATAGTCGATTGTCACTTCATGACAATCGATTGTCAAGGTATTTTGCTCAGGACACCCAAGTTTAGAGAGGCCTGATAATCGATTATAGCTATTTGATAATCGATTATCAGTAAGACCAGCCCAGACTTGAGAATCTGCAGGGCCTGATAGTCGATTATCACATATGTGATAATCGATTATCACGTTCTGCTGATTCTAACGGGTAGTTCAGCGCAGCCTGGTAATCGATTGACCGGCTCTGTAAATCGATTATCATAGCTTGCAGCTCCACGTTTAGCCAGTTTGAACATCGTCTTTACGTCGGAAGTTGTAGGGACGAACGTTTTTGTTTCCACTTTGAATAAGCTATGAAATTATGAATTACCAAACGTTCATATTAACAAGGTTATAATCGAAAAGTCTAGATAACAAATAACCATGATAATGCGGACACACGTATATCTAGCCGGGTAATCCTATGAATATAATTATACTACGAATTCTAAAGTTAGAGGGCAACGTACACACCTCAAACCGAAGGGATTGACGATACGGAAACGGATGAACAAATGGCTAACGAACGGACGGATGAACGACTTCTAGCGTGAACTACCTTCTTCTCTTCTCCCTTCTTCTTCTCCTTCTCGACAGAAAACGCCTCGCCTGGCTGCTACTGTAGGTGGGCCGAAACACAAGAGCGAGAGAGAGTGTGTTTGAATGCCTAGGAGTTACAAAGGTGAGGGGAGAAGGAATGGGAAAAGTGGGGTTTTAAGTCATGAAATGTATGGGGAATAAAAAGGAGAAATTAATGAGAATAATGGTGATGAGTTGTGGCGTGTGGATTAGTACTGGGAATTACATCCCTTAATTTGCTCCGTTATGTAAAATCTGACCTGAACGGTACGCGCTATTTCCCCCGAACGGGTCCAAATTGAGATCCGTTTACGTTTCTGGAATCAGATAGTCAAAACGAATATTATGACATGATCAAATAATTTTTTAAGGATTTTATTTTCCCGCCTCCGGTCCGAGTTAGTACTTGATTAATTAAATTAATCAATTCTAATAGACCGGGTCGCAGGGCGTTACAGGTGCTTCCTCTTCAACCGGTCCACGCCCCTCTCCTCCAAAAAAAATGTCGGACCAACAGGAAATTGTTGAGATCATTGATGAGGAGGAAACTCCTCAGACCGGGGCGGCTGAGGTGAATCATCCATCCAACAAGGGGAAAAACGTCCGGGTGAAGAAGGTGGCCACCACCCACCCGGCGGCGAAGAGGAAGAGAGGAGAGAATGTACTGATTGTCCAATTGGTCGAGGAGCTCTGGGTCAAGCTGGGGCTCAGGATGAAAGAAGTAAGCTTTACCCGGTACATTTGTCTTTTCTGTATTGCTTATGCACCCATACTAAGCATTTTCCTTCTGTTTTGCAGCTTGGTGAAGTTGGTCCTGACGCCATGGAGGAGTTCTCAGAAGGCTCTCCCTCCCAGGTATCCCAGCTGGAGGAGAAGCTGAGGAAGGCCGAAGAGCATAACCGGGAGCTCAATGTCGTGTTTACGCGGCAGGTTGATGAGATGGCGAACCTCTCAAACATGGCCGGGGCAGTAGGGGCGGAGAACCTCCATCTAAAGGAGGAGAACATGCAGCTAATGGGGGAGGTCTCCCGTCTGAAGGAGGAGGCCGAGAAGAAAGACCGGGAGCTACCCGATATAGCCCGTCAGTGGGTAAAGGAGAATCTCAAGGATGCCACCCAGGTGTTCACCTCTAACCCGGAAAGGACGATGGAAGCTTTCAAGCTGCTCTACCGGGAGCCGCACAGGAAGGACATGATCACGACGATAGGCTTCTATGGCTTCATGTCCGGCCAAAAGAGAGATCAGGAGGCCACCCACGCCATCTTAGCCGACCGGGATCCGGACTTTAATGCTGAATCATAGAATAGATCTCCCCGGCTGCGCCCGCTTGAAATTTGTAAAACTTTAACCTTCTCTATTTCCCCGGGAATGCCCGGAGTATTTATAAACATTTAACATTTACTTTAATATAAATTCCATGTTTGTTTTCCTTCCCGGTTATCTTCGTCCTTTGAATGTTTGGCTTGATATCCTGCTTTTTGTATCTTAGGATTTCTTCATTAGGACGTTGACTAGTATCATACTTAATTTTCCTTTCCGACTTTATCTTCAACTTGAATCTGATCAAACGCTCCCGATAGGACTTGTATTTTGAGTTTCTTCTTGATGATTAACTTGGTCTAACCGGTAGTTCCTCTCTTGCCCAGTCCAACCGGTGGACAGAATTACCTTTCTTCTTCAAGAACTTCGAAGTTTTTTTTTGTTTAACCGGTAGATTTTAGTTGGAAACACTTGTAACCTAATAATTATTAGAGTATCCTTACCTGGTAAGAATACTAGAGATTTAACCATGTCGAATGGCCTTGAACCCTCTCTAAGGTTCAAATGCACCCTTCTTCCAGTGCCCCCTCTTCTGGGTGATTAAGTCTTTTAATGGCCCTTTGATGTTTACTATCCCGGGGTAAAAGGCCTTAGCTCACCACCCCCGTTCAAGTCTTCCCTGAGAAGGGGGAATCTGACCCAGTCGGAGTAGGATGCATTGCAGTGAATGATCCTTTTCTATTTCTTTTAATGGGCATCTTTTAGTTCCCAATCGGTTTGATAGTTCCGGCTGACTCCCTGATACCGATCAAACTTCACGAGTCCGTGTAAGTACGGTTTCGAACCTTCTTCCAGGTCAACCCTTCTTGCAGGCATACCCCGTATCCGGGGCCCTTTTTCCGGGGTTTTTTTATTATACTGAGCAAGACCGGTGTTGTAACCCGCGTGCCAGGTCCGGGCCTTTGTCTCAGTTGGCCTATCCGAGTGGATTCGATCAACCCAGGAAACCCTTCCTTATAGGTTCGACCTATCGTTTTCTCCTCTACCGGGTAGAGTATGGAATGTCACCAATTTCATTACTTGATAACGGAAATAGGTCTGGCCTAATATTACAAATTATTTGTAGAACTTTCTCAAATGATGGGAATTCCAAGATCTTTCTATTGTTCCACCTTCTAGAGTTTCCAACTTTCTCAAGGGTCCTTTTACTAGGACGAGGCCTTGGTTTTTTTCTGTTGTGTGGTATATTGGAGGTGTTACAATTGAATCTGGTCCTAGCAAAGTATCAAGGCTTCAACTTGCTTTAACACCGAGGACAATAATGGCGTTTATGTGGACCCCTCCACTATAACCCTTGTGCTGATCCAAGAAGAACTGGCCAACACAAGCTGGATGTTTGGATTTGTTGGTGTCTTTACCCAGTCGTGGCTTTTGTTGTGCGCATTTATCTTTGGACTTTTGCTTTTTGGATTTTTGTTTTGTTTGTGTTTTAGGGATGCAGGGGATTATGTAGGGGTCTGAGCCAACCCCCTTGTACTTCTAATAAAAAAATTCGTTTATATATATATATATTTTTCCCGGAGAGAAGCACCAAAATCGGTGTGGTAGAGCCGGGGAACTCCTACCGAATTTTATTAAGACGAGGGGAGGGAGTACAAGAGAGATCACGTTCGGGGGGACTAGACCGAAACCCGAAGGTAAAAGAGGCAAAAGAAGATACAAAGTGCTAAAAGTAGACAAATAAAAACTAACAAGGCCCAAAGAGTTCCAGATTATAATCATACGTCGACTTCTTCCCCGATCTCAGCGAAGTAGTTGCAAATGAAGTTCCCGGTGAGTGCAAAGTATTGAAGACCTTCATCTGTAAGGTTGGTGTCCTTAATCATCCACTTTTTTCTTCGAAATTTCCAACACCAGAAGTAAATATTGTATTGAATTGTATGCTTGATGTTCGCGATTCTTTCCTTTTTATTGCCGAATATGTTGCTAGCATAGTTCTTCCAAATAGACCAAGCAATAATACCAGGAGCAATAAGTCTAAGCTTCCCCTTGAATGAGTTAGAAGATCTCATATTCCACTCAAGAATATGTTGTTGGAGTGTGATACCTTCTGTAGGAGTTGGCCCGTCAAGAATGAGAGCAAGTTCTTTCCAAAAACCATGAATCATAGGGCAATGTAGCAAGCATACCAGGTATGAGGGTAGTAGAAACTCTGTTAATCCCGTAACTCTCCCCTCACTCAATATCTACACCCATTATAAGAGTCCCTTTCCGTTTTCGAACATCAATTGAAAGGTTTCCTTGTTGACCGAAAACTATCCAACTTCCACCAGGGTCAATATAAACAGCAACTCTCACTATCTGTAGTGTGGTCTGCAGTGGTTACAGGCTTCCTTGAAAAAAATTTGGACCACTTCTGAGTACCCATCATCATCTTGCTCAGGAGTAATGTCCCCCAAAAGCTCTTCAGCTATAGAGTTTATTCTGCAAATTCTTTTACGGATAGGAGAATCAGTGAGTTTCTCTCTAAAACAAGTGGTACTATATTTTCCCCTCATGAAAATAGACCATAAGCTATCATTATACTTGAAGTTCCACCAAAGCTTCACAGAAAAGGCCTCCCGAATGTCCTCCAAGTTACGAATTCCCAAACCACCTTCTTCTTTAGGTAGGCAAACCTTGTCCCAGGTAGCCCAATGATGTCTATCCCCCCATAAAAATTTGGCCATCATTTTGTTGATGTGTGATATAACTGACTTAGGAAGCTGATGAACTGCCATATGATGAAGTGGTATAGTAGAAAGCACATGTTTGATTAAAATCATTCTACCAGTTTGACTCAAAACCTTATTGTACCACTTATCAATATAATTGTTGAAATAGTCAAGTATTTCCCCACAATCTTGCTTCTTGATAACTCCCCTGCAAATAGGGGTACCCAGATACTTGAAAGGAAGTGTGTCTTTGTTCATGTTGAGGATTGTTTGTGCTCTCTGAATAGCCTCAGCATTATAACCTTTGCCACAATAGAATTTGCTCTTGGAGTAGTTGATTTTTTGCCCAGTCCCTTTCATATAGTTCTGCAGAAGGTCTTTAACTTTCTTAAGATTGTTAGCCTCTCCATTACAAAATAAAATGATATCATCTGCAAATCCTAGGTGGCTTACCAGGCTGTCCCTGCCAGTGTTGTAATGGGAAATAATTCCTTGCTCCATCTGACTTTTCAGTGCCTTAGAGAGACCCTCTGTTGCAATAATAAAGAGAATAGGGGAGAGGGGATCACCTTGCTTTACCCCTCTTTTCATCTGAAAAAAACCTGTAGGACTTCCATTGATTAGGAGAGAAAAGTGAGTAGAGTACAGATTAGCCATGAGGAGTCTCTGAGCATTATGAGAGAATCCAAATTTCCTCAGAATCAGCTGGATATAATCCCATTCCAGATTATCAAAAGCTTTCTCCATATCCAACTTTATAATGAAATTACCTCCTCTGACCTTAGCATCAATTTTATAAACCATTTCCTCCACTAATAGGATTTGTTCATCAATGCCTTTTCCTTGTTGAAAGCCAGTTTGTTCTTTAGAGATAATTTTGGGAAGCACTTTTTGAAGCCTGTTAGCAAGGATTTTAGTGTTTACTTTGCTCATGAAAGTGGACAGAGAGATGGGTCTGTAATCATTAAATGTTTTGGGGTTATCCTTTTTTGGGATTAGGCTAATAAAAGTGCACTACCTGGATCCAAACCCCAGGTGTTTACTTTTAAATCATTAAAAATTTCCATTGTAACCATCCGGACCAGGTGCACTACCTGGATCCAAACCCCAAATAGCTTCTTTTATTTCCTCCTCATGGGGAAGTCTACAGATTCTTGAATTATCTTCATTAGTGATGGAGGGTTGAATGAAGTCCAGGATAGTCTAAGGTTGAGTATGTGTAGGACATCCAAAAAGTTTCTTGTGGTGATTAACAGCAATTTCCTTAATCTCCCCCATGTTTGAGATCTCTCTCCCTTCACTGTTAATGATAATTCTAATCTTGTTATTGGCTCTTCTGCTTTTAACATAACCATGAAAAAATTTGGAGTTGCAATCCCCATCAGTGTACCATTTGAGATTTGCCTTTTGCCTCCAAAATAGATATTCTTGATTGGTGGCTTTGATGAGCATGGCTTTGGCCTTATTGTCTTCAGATCTGTTGATAGGAGAGGGGTCGTTCTGATACTTATCTTGTGCTCTCTGAGCTTCATCCTCAACCATCTTGAGATTGTCAAATATATTACCAAAAATTTCATTGTTCCATTGAATGAGAGCTTTTTTTAGTCTTTTGAGTTTAATGCCAAGTCCATACATACCCCCATGGTTGTGGTCATGCCCCCAAGACTCCTTAACCACTTTAAGAAACTGCTCATGAGTAGTCCAACAGTCTAAGAACCTGAAGGGTTTGGGACCTGAGAAATCATCAAAACTACAAGTAATAACCAAAGGACTGTGATCTGAACTGGTTTTGCTAAGATGGTTAACAGAAATGTCATCATAGAATTCCTGAATGAAGTGATTAATGAGGATCCTGTCAAGTCTTCTGAAAACCACCCCATTGCTTTTGGTCCCAGACCAAGTAAAAGGAGAACCAATGAATTTAGGATTAATAAGGTTGCAAGTTTGAATACAATCCTTAAATTCATCCATGTCTCTTTGAATAGGGAGAGTTTTGCCTTTATGTTCATTCCATTCAGCCATAATATTGAAATCCCCTCCTATTATCCATTGCCCATTTGGTTGTAATGTGTTCAGATCATCCCAAAGTTGTCTTCTATCCAGCCCAGAATGTTTGCCATAGATAGAGGTGATAGTTATCTCCTTGTCAGTGACAGTATTAGTAAAAAAGCAACTGAGGAACTGGTTGCGAGAAGAAGAGTTGTTGAATTTGAGCTTATCACCATTTCAAAAAACCCAAATCTTGTTGTCACCAGAAGCCAAAAAATGATGCATACCAAATTTGAAGCTATAATTTTGAATATATTTTCCATCCACCATAGGTTCTATAATGGCTAAGAACCAAACTTTATATAATTTTTTCAGGCTTTTGATCCTTTTGAGAGAGGATCTAACTCCCCGGACATTCCAAAAAATGGCAATCATGGAAGACTGTAGAAAATATTATCTTTATGCCCCTTGTGGCTTCTTCTAATCATGCTAGATGTAGGTATGGATGAATATTTGATGTGCTTTTT